TTGAAAGAGAGACCAATCAGGATGCTGGTTGTGTCACTCTCTCACTACGTCTGACTCATTCTCTAGGTTTCTCCAGGAGTGGCAGTAATTGGGGTCTAGGATATGTAGTGGGGATAATGGTTGTAGTAGGGGGTTAGGAGCTGAAGCAGGTGGCTGGCTGCAATTGGGGAATGGGGCTGTAGTGTATATGGGCTGTAATTGGGGGAGAGGGGTTGTAGTGGGGAGAATAGGGGGCTGTAGTGGAGGCATGGAGTGCTGTATTAGGGGAAAAGGGCTACAAGTGGGGGAATAGGAACGGTAGTGGAAAGGATAGGGGCAGTAGTAAGGGCATTAGGGGCTATAGTGGGAGGGATAGGGGCTGTAGTAGTCTCCTTCCATCCATTTCCCCTCCCCATTTCATTTATGTCTCTCCCTCCATGTCCCACTCCCCCCCATTCCATCCATGTCTCTCCCCTCATGTCCCCCCTCCCTTCTATTTATGTCTTCCTCCTCCTTCTGTCCATGTATCTCCCTCTATGTCTCCCTCCCCCTTTTTGTCCATGTATCTTCCTCCATGTCTCCCTCCCCCTTCTGTTCATGTCTCTCCCCCCATGTCTCCCCTCCATTGTATCTGTGTCTCTCTCCCCAATGTCTTATTTCACAAGCAGCTATCAGCTGCTTCTATCGCAAAACAAAAAACAATTACCAAGATATTACATAAAATCCACGGGTCTCCGGGAGCTGCAATTAAAATGCGGGATACTCCTAGAACGCCTGGCAGAGTTGAGATATCTGTGTATGGGAATAGTGGCTGTAGTGTCATATATGTGGGGATATGGACTGTAGTATATTGAAGGATAGGGTCTGTAGTATGTGGGGGTGGAGAGGGGCTGTAGTGTATGTGGAGGATAGTAGCTGTGGTGAATGAGGGGGATAAAGAATGTGTTTATGAAGAGTTGGGTCTGTGGGGGCTAATATAAGAAAAAAAGTAAAAAAAAACAAAAACAAACAAAAAACAACCTAAAAAAATATTTATTCAGATTACTAGTACCCAATGGGAGATGCACCTCAAGCTGCTCC